ATCGCCGGCAGGACGCACGGAAAAGGAGGGCCCCGCGGCCCCGTCTTCCGCGGGGCAAAGTCCACGCAGGGCCGCTGTGGAGGCGGCTCCGGAGCTGGAATGAATCAGAAACGGTGACACGGGGAGAGCCCGTGGAGCCCCCCTGCCCCTGCGCTGCCGGCGCGAAGGTGACCGGCCCAGCGCGCGGTGTTGGAAGACAGCGGGACGCGGGGTCAAGGTACAGCAGGGCAGAGGCTGGAGCGCCGCGGGGCGGACGGAGGAATTTCTCCTCCTTCGCTACGTCTTTGCGGCCAGGTTTCCGTTTGGAGCCAAGGGCAGAGCCAAGGGCACAGCCTGCGCCTTGGGGCATTTCTACGGGAAAACCCGCAGCAGCCGCGGAGGGATCCGCTCGCTCCCGCCCCGCGTGCCTGCACGGGAAGCCGGACCAGGCTTGGTGGATAACGCAAGCCCCGAAGCAGCGCCGAGTGGTTTTGGGGGTGCCCAGCTCTGCTGCGGAGAGCGGCGTCACGGAGGTGGCCCAAGAGGCGAGGGGGACAATGCACAGGCAAAGCGGCCACCGCGGAGGAGCAAAGCTCAGGCAGGAAGGGGAGCGCGAGGCTGGCGCAGAGGGCAGCCATCGCCGCCACGTTTACCTGGGCTGCTCCGCACGCCGCTGCCCGGCCACCCCACTCGGGCGCTGCTCGGTCCGACTGCAGTTTCGTTTTCTTTCCTTGATTCTATTTATTTATTTATTTGCTTCCTCCTCCTCCTCCTCTCCGGGCCCCCAAAGGCTCTGCCGCAGGCGGCTCTCCTCCCACCCCTGTGGCCGGCTGCCCGGCCGCCCTCCTCCCTCCCTCCTGCTGCTCCACCTCCGGCTCCACCTGCACCTGTGCGGAACAGAAAGGGCTCCAACCGGCTGGAAGGGATGGAGAGATGGATAAATAAATAAATAAACAAATAGGGAAAAGTGCAGGAAACTCATGGCAACCCACCCAACCTGTCTGCCCTGCTGCCCTGAGGGCCAGCGTGTGCACCCGGCCGCCCTCCTCCCTCCCTCCTGCTGCTCCACCTCCGGCTCCACCTGCACCTGTGCGGAACAGAAAGGGCTCCAACCGGCTGGAAGGGATGGAGAGATGGATAAATAAATAAATAAACAAATAGGGAAAAGTGCAGGAAACTCATGGCAACCCACCCAACCTGTCTGCCCTGCTGCCCTGAGGGCCAGCGTGTGCAGGGAACCACTGTGCCATCCAGGCAGCTCAGCCGCAGAGTTTATATTAATCAGCCTTTATTGCTTTTCCTCTGTGTTTTTTTTTTCCAAGCAAATATGAAAAAAAAAATCATTGTAAAGTGTAAGCTGCTCCAGCAGGTCATACTCCTGGCCGAGGCCATTTCCACTACCTGCCTCCTGTGGAGCTGCAGCCTTGATGCCTTAAATGCTCTTTGGGAGGATGGGATGGGTTTGGGGATGCTCCCGCAGGAGCCTCCGGGCGCTGGGATGGTCCCACTTGCCAAATGGCTGCTGGCAGCAGGATGAGGAGGGGGCAAGGGGAAACAGGGGCTCGTTGGCCAGGGATGGCTGGGACAGTCGTTCCAGGCGCGAGGCGAGGCGGGATGGCCTCTCCAGGCCACCGGGGCAGCAGGAGGGCGAGTGTCTCCGTGCGCGTCCCCGCGGGCGCCCCCCGCGTTTCCCTGGCGACGGCCGGGAGGCGGGAGCGGCCGCCCCGCGCGG